AAAGAAGAGAGCGAAGCGAAATGACACGCGGTGAAGAAGGCATTTAAGCCAAATTGATTCAATCAAGCGTTAATCGATATTTATAGTCATATCAGAAATAAGTTACAGACATGTGATAAATGGGGTAAGCAATACACGCACACACGATCATATAAAAATAGCCAGGATTAATAAGCGAATAATTACCAAGGTCAAAATGTGACTCAAGAAAGGTGAATAAATTGGCCTATCTGGAAGTTAGAGTAACCTAGGTGGGCTTGGCATAGCACCCAACATTACAAAAATCCAATACTTGCTATATTTAATTTCATTGTCTCGTCCATAAATTATATTCTGATTACATAAATTTATGTCGTTAGTTTTAGACGAGTTACTAAAACCAGTCATCGGAATCTAAAATAATTTTCTGCTATAAATCTACAAAAAATAAATCTTTATATTTTCCTCTCATGCTCTTGTGATAAGATCACATATTAACTAATTTTGTGCTCACGTTCTAAGAGTCATTCACAATGTATCAATCAAAAATAGATGTAATTGATAGCAGAATAAATTGTCGCTGGTCACACATGTGGATATTGAATTAGGGTGACACATGCTCGAACAGTAGACTCAAAACCAGTTTCATCACGTTTGGAGGCACTCATTTTCAACTGTTGCCAGCAATCACGACGCTGAAATATGAGGTTTGATAGAAGGTATACATAAAATACTGAACAACAAAACTTCATGAACCCTGAGGTACTAACATTAACCACAGCTAACAAACTGAATGTTATGACCGAATCTAATCAGCATTTATTTATAAAAAATAAATAAAATAAAAATTTTCAACAGATTATCTTGCTTTCACACACATAATGTTAAAGCGTTTCAACGGAAAACTTAATCTATTAACGAAATATTGGTTTACAATTGATGGATCGCTGTGTAGTAACTTGACATAAATAACATTGGTCACTCTGTAGTGATCAGTTAGTTGTAAATAAACTTCAATCATACAAAAAGTTAGTCATGGTCTGGATAACTCAGTGATAAAGCCTCTCACTGTCAAGCCGGTTGATGCGAGACCGAATCTTGCAGGGAGCACTAGTCTCTTCAAGATCTCGCTGATGAGTGTCGAATAGCACGAAACCTAGATTCCAGGGTTTCTTGTCGACTACTTCCACCTTTAGAATGAGCATTTGATTTCATTGCGTATTCGTGTTTATTCTGTTACTTAACAGATGGATAACATTCATAGTGTTATTCACGACTTCAAAAAAATCCTTTTTCAAGTCCTCGTTATTTAGTTCAACTACCATTGAAATGGAATGAAGAGCAGCAGAAGAAATGATAACTTCTTCAGAGTATTTTAACTGATCAATATCTCATTAAATAGTTATTTTCATTTCTTTATATTCAAGTATACTTGTCTGAATATAAAACAGTTGAAATATTTTCCCTTATGAGTTTTATATCTATAACTGTCTGTAATAATGCAAGTTTTATAAATGTAGGACATATTTGAAGATTGCCATAAACGTGTTTGTTATCTAATATGATTACACTTGAATAGAAGCTTATATATCTATATATATCATGAAGATTACATAATAAATTTTTAAGCAATATTATAATTCTAGGTCACTTATGGTGAGTTATACTTGTTACTGTCACTCAATTCCGGACAAATACTATGATGTACAATTCAAATTACTGTTAAACATGTTATTTTATAAAATTTAGATTTTAATGGGGTACTTATTGAATATATGAATAGTACTTACCGATGAATATTATTGCATAAAGATAAGTATAAGAAGGTGAAACTTATTATGTATGATTGAGTTTTATACACATTCCTATTCAGTCTATATATATATGAATAATGTGAATCTATTACTCTTTTATTATATTAATATTAGTTTTATTATCTTCTTGACAAGTTTTATTGGTGTTTGAAACCGGATCAGTTGTAGAATGAAATCAACCTACGTATTTCATGAAATGGTTACTTTTCAGCCAATCCAGTGTCATTTCTTGTAGGTTTGTGGAACTTGTTTATTGTAGATATGACTGTTTTATTATGGTTTTATTGAGGCTGATCTCAGTTAAGTAACGAATGAAAAGCTGTAAGCGCTAGATGTCGTTTCACCCAAGTGTAAGAGTTTTCAACAGTGAGCATCCACGACTTCACTACCGGCCATTAAGTTCTTGAAAGTGCACTTCTGGAGAGTCTCCCACTCGAACAAAACAACCCACTAGCTCTTCCAGGTTTTCACTGGTTGTGTAACAGATGGGTTCTTAGTCATAATAAAAGTAAGCAATCTCTACAACCTAATGCTGTTAATCATCTTAGTTAGAAAATCAATGAAGCTTATCGTACTGTTTCATTCTAGTTTGGGACTCCTTAACGGTGCTTATTAATAATCTTTCAGGAATGGAAATTAAAGAAATGGAGTCAAGTAACCTTTTGAATACATTTACATTATCAGATTATTAGCTGACAATTTATATTTCCAACCTAAAGAAACATAATTTCAAAAACGTACCGATAGGGTTTGCTGCAAATCTGCTTATTTCCAAGTTGAAATCATACAATTTTCTCCAATGGTTGTCTCATCAAAATTGTCAAAAAATGTATAACGGTAAAATAAATTATAGAAATAAGTCAAAAACTAGTTCACTTCAATTTTAAAACTAATTTTTCTTATTAATAGAAATAGATTGTTTTGATTTATTTTCCATATATTTATTTCTCCATCGAATAGTATATTATTTATGAAAACAATCTGATGATGATAATTATATGAATGGGACTTCTTTGCATAACTAAATATAAGTCATTATAAGCAAAGATGGATAATGGCTAGCAGTGTAATCGAGGACGCGCGTTTCGTTCTATTTGGGACTCGTCAGCTGGATATAGGACGAAACGCGTGTCCCGGATTCCAATGCTAGCCATTATCCATCTTTGTTTATAATACTTGTGAGCTAAGACTATATCAAGGCAATATGCTCAATATTCATATATGCCAATTACAGACTGACTAGTTGCAGTCCTAAAACGTCAATGAGAAGATTCAAACAAACCATACTAAGTGAATTTAACTATAAGGTAGTTTTATTAACTTTCCATCATTTAGATGAACTGACATCGGTAAATATTTCAGAAGGGAACAAATGCATTACCGACCTATACAAACTTCATTTTCACTATAATTTCTTTGAAAGATTTTTATTATTTTATATTATTAAATAATAAATAACCGGTTCATTATTTATGAATGTTTACAGTGTAAAAAAACGACTAATAAGGTTGAAATGAATATATAGTATAATTTTCAATGTCCAAATTCTAGTTGTTTTCAGTTGTTTAAAACAAACATATAAAATTAATAAGCCGATAGATAGTTAAGAAAGAGAAGAGAAAATCGGTACTGATTGAAACGGTTATACACATTTATTACATCTAAGCTAAACATACTAGACATTAAAGAAAAATAATAAATAAAAATGAACCCAATAAATCTATTTTGGTAAATAAACAAAATTTATTACGAAAAAAAAAAGAAAAAAAAATCGAAAAAGGTAAAGGTATTGGAACTAGTTCGAAAATCAAAATAATGGCTGATTTCTTTTAATAAACGAGAAAATGTTCATTATAGGATTCAGATTCGGTTTTATGTGAGAATATTTTAACTCAGTATCTTAAACATACGATTACATTATGTAAGACAATTTTTGGGTATTTATTTTGTGGTTTTTGAATTTAATGCTGGTTATGATCACATATCAGTCGGAACAAATAATTGAAAACTAGATGGTACTGAATAATATTTACATTCTAGTTTCTGATTATTCAACAGAATTCACTTATAATCTAAGGTTGTATCAAGCTTAGGACGTTTCGTTTTCGTTGTGAGCATAAAAGGTTTAGATCAGCTAGATAAGATACAATAGTCAATAAATATAACTTCAGTCAATTTGTAATGATGGTCAATTCAAAAGCGTAATATTTGAAATGGACATGTTTTTTTAATGCTCACTGTGTTGTTAATCATTTCATGTTATCTAAAACATTTCAGTTGTCAGTATGTTTTTGAATAGTTTCATCAACTTCATAACTTTTCCTTAATTTGTATCCATTATTCTGAAAGCTGAATAGAATATGATCCTTCTACTATACAGAAAAGGTTTAGATTCTATGAGTATTTATGTTTTCCGAAATTCCTTAGCTTTTGCACTTACAGAACTTGAACCAGATCTTATCAAGTATTTTTATTAGTGAATATTTTGTATTTGCTTTCCATTTTATTGAAACTACACGAAATTGAAATCGAAGGTAATAATTCACTAGAATATTGAGTTATAAGATATCTCAGATATTTGTGATACGTTGCCCATATTGATGAATCTGTAGAAGTTGTATAAACACATCTAAAGGCATTTTTTGATTTGCATTGTAAAATAGTCAGTATGTAGTTTTCCCACAGTTTTATCTATTATAGAGTACTTTTTACGTTATTATGAATAATGAATACGGGCAGTATCCCAGACCTCACAAAAGTCGAATGATTTGTGTAGTGCATATATGCTTGATGCTTCCTCATACCAATGTTTATGTGTTTAAATAAACAAAAATGGTGTATTAATCAGATCAAAATAGTTCCACTTCATTCTAAATAATAGTAATATCATATTAACTTCTGATCTAATAAATTATTGAATAGTCGGTTCAACACAATTGCTGAATAATTCTTAGGTGAATCTAATCAGTTTTTAAATTATATTAAATGCCTAACATAGTTTTGGTTAATACAACTTTTTAATGAAAACTTTCATACTCAAGGAATTTACCAAGTTATATATCATGTTCAGTGATTCATCCCATCATTCGTTAGTCCTTTAATTTTGATGCTCAAACGTATCCTATCCATTCCATTTTCAGAATTTGATTCACAATGACGGTTTGTTTACTAATTACAGTTAACATTTCCTTTTTTTCTTGATTTTAGCAAAATAAAAACATTTGTTTTTTATGTTTAGAAACTTGAAATTCCATATGATTGATTCAGATAGTGTAGAATTATTCAATTCATTATCACCAACCAAAAGTAGATCAACTGAAAAGAATAAATTTAGCACATTTGGAAAAGATCTCAATTCAATAGATCAGCTGATTACAAGCAGTAACGCTAGTAGTGGATACTGGGAAGACTGTGATTCACTTGTTACAAGTGAATATGATGTTTTTGGATTGAATTGGGTAAGTAGTATATACATTATGAAATTTACGAATATCAGATAAACGTCCATGTCATTATATTTTATCAAAGATAAATTTTTTATACAAAATAAAGTACTCTGATTTCCCTTGTATTAAACTAACATTTGTTATTTTCCTCGTAGAAAATTCAATTTATTGACTGAATGTTCCAAAATGGTTGTAGGTTTTGAGAGATTATACATGTCACTAACCTTGACGCCAAGATATTTTTTACAATTTGGTGAATTAATAACAGACTATTTCTCGATTTGTCGCTAATTACTTCGGCTAAAAGTTCTCTATAGGTGCAAATGTAATTTAAGTTGTTTAAGATCCAAATCTCTTCACTGACTTTTGGAAATCTAAGTCCTTGAGCTTTCTAACAACTTCGCCTGTCCTTTATAATCGTTTATGAACTATGATGTAATATTTACTTTAGTGATCAAGTACAATACATCTATTATTGTTAAATCTATTTTATTATTACTTTGTTTAATAATAACTAGTCAACCAAATCACCTACATAAATTGAATTTTTTGATGTTTTTGTTGTCTTTCATATATTCTTTAATCTAGACAACTTGTCATCAAAACGATAGAACAAAATGCAACAAACTGAAACACCGACCATTACCAGATGCAAGTAATCATTCATCACTAGTTAGAACTCGAAGTTTTCATGTAAAACCAAAGGATAACATCAATAACAATTCATATGAACAGCATACTAGAGATCATCATTCAGTTTCAATTCTCAGTCCTTACTATAAAGATGAACAACTTGTAAAAAACCCTCAAAATAAAGCAGCTAATAATATCCAGCAATCATCATTAGAAGATAATAATCATCTATATATAGCAAATGATTCACCGGTAAGTTATTTTATATATATGTTTACTCGATGAACTTCATTTGATTTCTTTTATGATAACACTATAAGACGTAGTTCTTTTCTTTTCCTGAAGATTCATTATTGAATAAAAACTTCCTTTTGTGTTTCCCAAAAAATCAAAATGCATATAAGGTAAAATTAACAGTAAAGATCAGTTATTTCAAAAAACATGAGTTCTAAAAAGATGACAATAGAAAAATATACACAGTAACTTCATTTTCCTTCCACGATGAATGTTTCATATCAATTTAGTACATCTTATAAAGTATATAATGAAATGGTTCAATTCTACAAAAATGTTATCAAGGAGAGAATGTATTCCTGATAAAAAGTTAGAGAGAAAATCACTCCTTGAATACTGTTATATACTATTACTTATATTTAAGATTAGAGAAGTCATGATATGAATCCTTTGTCATGTTTGAATCAAAACTGAAGAATGATGATCAGATTTTATTGTTTAATGTTGTATATTCTATCCCCGTCGCCAATTGTTATATCTTGTGGCTGAGTGGATGCCCAGTTAATGTATGACGTGATAAAACCGTCAATCAGAGAGCAGCGAATTATCCATTGGAACAGTGAAACACGAAAACCGTACGAGCAGTCTAGAATACGTATCGGTCCTGCTTTCTACCCAGCCCAGCCAGTTAAGTGCAGAACACCAATAACAGCCTCTGCGGTATGAATCATTGTATTTCAAACATACTGAGTTTATATACCAAACAGACTGACCACACCGTACCAATAACATAGGAAATAACATTCGTACAAGATTTTGCCAAATGCGGCTGTGAATATGGGAGGCAGCAATTAATAGGCTAGGTATAACTCAAGGATGGTAAATCGTACAGTAATAATCTATATGTCAAAATATAGCTTATAATAAGGGGAACATGAGAATGAATAGTTTATTTAGCGATTATACGATAAAAAGTATATGCATAATATTGGTCCATAAATGGATGCCAAAGTTACCATTCACTATTGTTATCGGGACACAACATTTAAACAATAAATTATATGTCAACATTATTTAACCATTTGTTACATTTTTTTAAAAATGTATCTTCACATTGACTACTGATTTTTTTCTCTGTTGAATTTTTCCATTCATCACTTTATATTTTTGTACACCATATTGAATAAATATTTATACATAAATTAAGATTAAACATGATCTCGGTTAGATACCAAATTTTTTTTTGTAATATTCCCATAAAATATAGCTATAATCTAATTTTCTCTTTTCAAATTAGTCCAATATAAATTTGTCAAATATATAGGACAAAATCAATATGGTGTCATTTCCTTGAATTTTCCCCCTTAACCCAGATGTCTTTATTAGAAATTAAAATGATCATAATTCTAAAGTGAATTTAGTAAAGAATAATTGAATTGAGAAAAAAATTATAGAAAATAACGGTAAGACTATAATTTATGGACGACCTTTGAGCAATGCTAAAATGATCTTGGAATGTTCACCTACTAACCAGGGTTAAATAAGGATTATAGATTAGTGTGAGGGGATTAAGATTAAGAATTTACAGTTGAATGTTAGGGTTAGGAATCAGATTTAATGTTTTCATCACGAACTGACATCAGTTATAATACCAAAATGGTATTTAGCCAAATAAGTGAATGGATTTCGAGCCGAAATCCATGATTTGCTATCTTAAATGTGATTGGTTCATCCATAAATTATAGTTTCACCGAAATAACTGATTATACTTGAAAAGCCATAATCAGTCTATTACTAACTTGTTAATTTATTTGTGAAATATTATTCACATATTGAAGGAAGAATTTGATTCAACAAATAGAGATCATTGTCTTCATCTTTATGCAGTTGATCTATAAGTGTTCCATCTAGGAAAAAAACCATTAAAAAGAAAGTCACTTCACATCACTTCCGAAATCATGATTTGGTTTGTCTAATTAACAATGGTGTTTTTTGTGGATGATCGCTTTTTAACTACATTTCGAAACTTTCATTTCTTGAATGTTTTAATCCAACATCCATTAAGAAAGCTCAAATATTACAGTTGTTTCTTCAGGAAATGAGGATTAGAATGAAGGATTAATTCTTTCGATCATAATCGAATGAAATGTTGAATTTCTTTTCTTTTAAAATTAAATACATTTAATAAAAGTCACTTCGAAATCAGTATCAATATGTTGGTGAACTCCAATAAATATAAACATTTTTATTCTGTTCATCTGTCATCCTCTCTCTCTCTCTTTCTAGTTTCGTTTATTTTTGTTTCTTATTGTACTTTTGACATCAGAAATGAAATTTATCATGGGATTCGTTCAAATGATCAAATACTTTATTAGTTTGTACTACCAGAAGACAGATTCTTTAACAGCGAATTATCAGAAAAACATTTGATATGTATCTAACTGATATGAAAGTTCCTCTAAACTATTAATTTAGTCGGTTATGATATGATTAAGGAGGGGTTCATTTCTAACAAACCAATTTCTCAACTTTATAAAAAGATTTTGGAATATGATTATAAAGGTTACCAGGTATCCCATTTATGTGATAAACTTTCTTGTCACTTTAAATAATCAATCTCCCTCCAGCATTATTGTCAATATTCTCGTTTGATAATGTATACGTGACCATAACCCAACTACTAGATTGAATATATATGTGTAGAGATTTTCATAAGCTAAAGAGATACATAATTAATCTGATGATTCCGTCTCACTATACTGATGTTTAGCATCTTAGACCGTGTGATGCTACGTACAGATGACTTCAGTTGACGAACAGATTATCTTTTGTCTTAATGTTTTAAGGATATAATTTGTTTCAAAATTAGTTTCTAACATAAACTGATATTGAATTGTAAAGAATTTATTGACTTTAAATCAGACAACCGTGTATATAACGTTAACTATATAAAATAAAACAGTCTGAGGATGATATGTTGTTGTTTATACTATTTATGTTTGCTGGTAAAGGTAGTATGTAACACCAGAAGTTATTTGTTAAAAATGAATATGAAATGTTTGTTAAAGCTTCTACTGATCAGTTTGTCATTAGCACATGTGCTATTTACAATACATTTTTGATTCAAGAAACTGTAAGTACAAAAGAATTATAACCGGCAAGTGGAAATGAAATAAATCAGATATTTTATTGATTTATTTTTTAAGGATGTACAGCCTTACAATCTTGTCTAATTAGTCTGACTAACTATCATGAGTATATTAACATAAATATAATAAGTATAATATATATTATAGATATGTCACTCTCGAAAAAAATCTGTTAAAATCCGCGTTACTGATCTTAATAACATATAAATCAGGTTATTTATTGTCTCAGTTTTGAAGATATTCTAAAAGACCTATTCAAACTAAAAGGTTTTTATGGAAGTAATGTTGTAGTAACGACAATGTGGATATAACTGGGTATGATATTGAATAAAACAAATAACATGTTTTCTGTATTTTAATTGCAAAGGTTTCGATAATTCATTGATATCTTGTAGTGTTTTTTTCAAAAGGTGTTCTTATTTGTCCTACAGCAGATGGAACGGCTCTTATTAAACATCACTAAAATTGAATGGTTAGGCAACTCACAGTTATTTTATACCCTAAGTTATACTGTACTAGATGTTACCTAATTCACGGTTGATTGATCATTAAGTGGTGATCAATATCATGTTTATCTAGCTGTTTCATACTTATTGAATTCTATCAATCAAGTTGTTATATAGTCGACTGTCAAACATGATATGTGATTTAATTCAAATGAATCAAATTCCCTCCAGTTATCAATGTATTATACTTTATGCGACTTTCACAATGTATTAGGAGAAAGTGCTATTCGAATCTACAAACTAAATTACACATGATGTAATAATACAATACATTGCAATCAATGATCATAAGAATAAAACATGAGTTTTCTTACAAACAGCTATTTTTCTACCGATTTCTATGTGTTAAACGAAACTGTTTTTCAACTGTCTAGTTAACGGGATAAGATGTCGTTGTGTATACAGTTCGTGAACAACAATTGTTCAAGGAATGTTGTTATCTATTAGCTATTTGTTTTTATGTATGTACAAATCTATTTACACATTATTTCGCGTTATGGCTACTATGTATGAAAGTTTAGTTATCATGTATATGTTTGTATTTTTGTACACAAATTTACAAGTTAAACAATTAATCTAAATAAATTTAATGTCTGTGAGAAAAGACTAAACTGTTCTCGTTACTATTACCTAAATGAAACTAGTTTACATTGATTTGAATTCTAGTGTTATAAGTGTAATTACTCGGTATCTTGTCTACTGTTACTGTCTTTTTTTACTTTGATATATATCTGTATGTTTATAATGGTGAAATGTAGAAATATATAGATCATATGAATTAATTTAGAGTTTATTACAGTCACAGAATTACAATTCCATTATAGTACAATAGTAGTATATTGAGATTAAACTCAAAAATAGTAATATCAGGCCAAATAGTTGAGTCATATAGTATCATGTCATCTCAGTTTTTAAACAAATTGGGTGACCCACCTAAGGTATTTGAGTAATAAATACATGTTACCACTGATATATTAGAACTCTTGGTTTCGTTATCATACTAAATCTTTATATACACAAACTTTGTGTTTTTATTTTAATCTGTCACCATAATATTTGATTATACCTTTGGTCAACTGGGGAAATTGAGTTCTATTTCGATCATTTCTCTTGTGGTTTATTACTAAGAGCAACCAAATATTATAAACCAACGAAGACAAATATCACATTTGTTGCCTGAGTTGTTATTTTAGTTATCTTTAACTTTCGACAGTAGTACAGTGTCGTTATAAATTTTTAGTCCTACAATATATACTTAAAAGAATGGTTTTCGGTAAATCGTTTCTCCTGTTTTGACCATCAACTGTATACAAACCATTTGTAATAGAAATTTCTGCATAAATAAATTGTTTAAAACAGTTGGTTTTACTACAGCTGACAATTGATGAATTGTAAACTGATATTTCATTTGCATTGAAGGTGAAATTCCTAAAATAATAATGCTCATCATCTATTCATAAATATTAAAACCATTGGTAGAAGTTTTAGTTTGGGCGTACAATTATCAGTGTAAGTTAGACAACTCATCTTTATATGATCTTCGAAAAACTACAAAATATATTAAAAGATCCCCTAGCTACATGATTTGAAAGAGTAATATTTTAAGTTGAGTAGTCTTTTTATAAACAAAGTTACCATAAACCGACGACTTAACACTACTTGTTATAACTAGGGTAAATTTGACTAGTACACCAAACAATAAATCTGTGAAGTTAAGTTGGATTCCGACATCTTAAATTGCTTCTAATACTAGTATTTCAACTTTTTCATAGATAAAAGATTGAAAACCTAAGAACCATACTTGACATACAACTATGAGAATTTACTACTGAATGTAGTTACGCTGAAACATTCCGGCAACTTCATTTCAGCTTACGACATCACTTATGCTTATATAGACCTTTGCGCACTGCTGAGGAGTCTCGCAATGGGACGAAACAGCCATCCAGTGTTTCCAGGTTTTTCATGATGGTCTAGCTTCAATTGACTCATGATTTCAATCATATAAAATTTCGTTTGTTTGAAAATAAATTCTCATATATTTCTAAGTATATGAATGCTTTTCGAGCTAATTAGTACACATAATGGGGAATCAGTTCGAGTGTATTAACAACTAAATAATTATTGACGAATCATCGTCAACTTGATTTTTTTTATATTCAATATTTTCAGGGTGGATTTGACTTGATTGAATCAGATTTTCTATTTTGTCAAAAAAGTTGTTCATCTGTACATAATATTCAGTCATGTCAACCTATTTCCTCTAAAGTTCAGAATGCTAAAGAAAAAACTTTTAAATACCTAAACGAATGGGATGATAGTGGAGATGAAGATATTGTAAAAGGAACAGAACCAAAAACTAAATTTGAGGCTGCGCTAAGGAGAGCTGAAGAAGAAAATAAAAAACGAATGGTGTGTCATTAATTATATAAAGAGATAACGATACAAATTTGTAATTCATTGCGAGTAACTTTAATAATGTTGTATTTTTCAAATCAGTTATTTTTATTAAAATATCCTGTGAATGAAAATCCATTATTAATTTATGTTTTATACTGGTAGTTATAAACTAATTAATATTTTCATATTTTGAATCACGAACTGATTTCACTTAAACCACTATTGAAACCTGGTAGAATTGAATGGGCCTTTGGCCCTAGTATGAAGATCCCTAGCGGTGTGCACGCACAAGTACGGATCAAGGAGTTGAACTTAGGACCTTCGATTTCGCATGTGAACACTTAGCTACTACACCACTAACCCGGCATCCAATGGTGTACGTAGCTATTAATTACTTCTGGAAAACAACCAAACAGCTTATTTCAGATTGACAACTAGATTAATAGTTCTATGTACTCTTATGATATTCTAAATGCATTGTATTCATATATTAAGTGTATGTAAATTAACTATATCAACTGAACTATATTTACCAAAAATGCAGTGACAGATTTTGACTACTGGTAAGTAGTATAAGCATTTTAGATCAGTAATTGTCGTGATGAAATTAATACTAATCCCAGATTCATAGAATTTCCACTTCTGAGAACTTTGTATATTTGAATGATTCAAATTTATTTGAATATTCAATTCTAAGAATATTTAAGTTGTGTGCAGTTAACAAGTAATTTATCACTTATCAGCTAAATGAATTATAATCCATTCTTGGCAGGTTTTATTATGCGAGCATCCAAAGAAAAGAGGAAATTTTATTGGTTATATATTATACAAACATTTATTTGTAAATGGTTCAGTCCAAAAATTTATGTTTAAATTATAACCAAGCTAAGGAGTCAGCCTAATAACTTACTGTATGCTAAATGTCTATCTATCAACTGAAGGACGAATATATTGGCAATCAGTAGTCATATCTGTACTGTTCCATCACTGAGAAACATGATCATTGAGAGAAGAGAATATTCATGGACTGGGGTTTTTTGACTAAGGTGGTCAGAACAAGTGTTATGGGTGGTTTGACCTTGCCCACATCAACTCATGAAGTTTTCTGGTACAGAAGCTAGAGACTACCAAATCATGGTATGACATCACTGCATGAAGTTATTGACTATTGGTCTAAGTAGTTGTCGCTAGGATCCGCTTACTTGATCAAGAACCTCATGATGACTGTGATCATTGGTTGGCTCAGAATCATTCCATTGTAATTTCTTTGAATCAGGATTGAATGATTAATTAATCGTGAAAACTACAAAATGATAAAATATATTCAGTAGTATATATCACTGGAACTAAATACTTATGTTTCCTTCTGCTTAAGACTCACTAGTATGATTTACTCCAATACTCCAAATTCAATCTGTTTCATAATGATCCATACTTAATTACAAGGGGGAATCGTAACTCAATACTCTGATGAATAGTCATCTAGTTTCTGAAGGGATTGATGGTGAATATGAATCTTAGAACAACTGTCACCACTTTCTGTGAAGAATCGATATGTTTCAAATAAGTAATTTCTAAATAAATCTCTTAGCTTCTCGTTTATTTGTCATTGTCAACCATTATATGCTGACTAGAGAATTAAGTTCTATAGTCAAAATTATCAAAATACTGTTTGAAGATTTCGATAAATTTACTTGGAAATAACATTTTTTATTTACAGGAACTGATAACTTCCAAAGACTTTCCAACATCAGATAAAAAGATGCCAGAATGGGGTTCACCTATTCAAATTAGGAAGAAAGCTGATCAAAGTAAATTTATGGAATGTTCTCTTTCATTAGATATTGTAAGTTTTATGAACTACATTTTGCATAATAAAGATTTGAAACTTCATTGATCGATAAACGTTTAAATGAATTTTTAATGTTTAATGTTACAACATATAACAATCCAAAGTGTTTTGTCTTTCTGTAAACACAATAATCAGTCATAAAGTAATTATGATGATTGTCACTTCTTTAGGGATAGAAAAAGGTAGTATGTCCAAGTTCCTAATCTAACTGTAGAGTTGTATATGGTTCTATATATTTAAATAGTTGAGTAAGAATATAGTCTTGAGTTGACTCTGATTGGTGATGAATTATGAGAATGAAATATAAATCCTTATCTAACCTCATAAACATAATGTTGACTGATTTCGTCATTTGACAACGTAAAGTAAAAATTTGAATAGAAGTTGTGTTTTAGATATTTTTCTTTCAAATATACATATAAAGAGTAAACAGATGGTGGGTGAATAGATAAAGCGATAAGGATTGGCAATACAATAACTCATCAACTAACCTAATGACTCAGCTTGTATAGTTTAAATAAAAAGTTATGTTAGCTAATAGATGGACAACAATTAGAGTAAATAATAAAAACAGATATACATAAAGAGATTCATGCTTTGATCTGTCAATGTATGATATATGCAAATTGATGATCATATCCCATGAAAGTAAGTACATATAATCGATGTAGACACGCATATAAGACATAAATTTATAAGTCAGTGCTACCTAAAATGATGAATGAGATATTATTAGCAAGGTAAAAATGACACATTAGTTCCACAATATATGGTTTATTAGTATTAGTTTAAAGTTCGTATAAGATATTCTAAAGAGTCACTACGACGACTATTATTATTAATAATAATAGATATGATATAACAATAAGTATCAACGGATATTATTTTCCTGGTCTTATCTAATAAGAAAACATATCGTAAATTATTGTAATCATAATATAAAACCGAATGAGCAGCTGATTCAATTAAATTTATGATTGTATTTTATACTTTCAAACTCGTTACTTATTTACTTACTTACGCCTGTTATCCCTCGTAATGAAATAATTACTCTTAGCTGTTATGTTATAGGACTCAATCGATTTCGATGTTAAAAGGAGTAACTTAAAAAAGTAATTTAAAGAGCAATTAGTCATTAATTCCAGATTTGGAAGAGTATACAATTCATGACTAAAGCAAATGTTCGATTAAAACTGTGCTTCATTCTAATATACTTGTACAAGAATTTCCGATATGAAAGTAAAAACATATGTAGATTTTTCCTGCAATTACGTTTTATCATTGACCGATATCAAAACCATTGAAATTCAAAGTGCTGGACAGCTGTTCATTGTTAGTTTCGAACCTGTCAATGATTTTTAGGTTGCGTTATCGATGTCCTAAACAATTTCGGTCAATGGAATGAACTACTGAATATAAAACTAGTAGTAAGAAATAAATTCTAGTTATTTAGGACCATTTCTAAAATTGAATATAAAAATTTCTCTGAAAGAATGCTCTTCTGAATATAACGATTATTTCTTATTGGTTTTGATCCTAAATATTTCCACACTTTTAATTTAGTTCCTATTTGAAGCTAGTTAATAATTTGATTATGTTTAGCAGAACACTATATGGTTTGTGATAGTAATAATTAATCATTTAAACTAATTAACACAGAAACATTTAACCCCAGTATTTGTTTATGATTTATGACATGTATATATTTGGCTTGAGTAAATGGCGCAAATGGTGTTATTTGAACTAATCTATATTATCGGTTAGAAACTATTTCAAAATAAATATTTTATAATGTACATAAGAGTTTTGGCGGAATTTCAAAGAGACTAATGAGAAAATCATCACATCGAATGATAGAAAAACTATGAATGAATATCATCAGTTATAACAATATTAAACACGAAGATGGAAAGTGGCTAACAGTGAAATCCAGGACTCCGAGTGAATAATAAACACAGCTGTGTAGATGACTTTCTTATTTTATCATGTTGTTTTTTGCGTCTGTCTCTTCATGATTTAGATAATAAACATAATTATCGAAATAAAATGAATCATCATATCGTCATATTTGTTAGGTAACTTTTCTAATTTGTCAGCAGTATGAAAAATTTGTAGCTCTCGAAATTTTTTTATATTTTTCACATATTTTCGATCAGAGAGTAATTATCTTAATTCGTTTAATCTTGGCTGGAAATTTTAAAGTGAAATTCAATTCGTGAACCCGTAAACTGTTAAATCAGGAAGTTGGGAATATGTTCGACAAATACATACGAGGTTAAATACTGCTGGTTGGCATTATAATTGGCTGAATGGACGCTAGGTGTGAGGAAGCGAAGATATCGACTGTAGAAATGGCCCATAGTGGTATATACAAATTTCTAATCTAAAACATATACGATTGTTGTGACCTATGGTTAAAGGTGTTGGGTAACACGCCCCAAATTATATCGCAGTGGTACATTTCCATTTTTTCCTTATATTTATTTAGTGTTATTCACGCTTTGATCCAATTCGTATCTCTGAAACTATATCTACATGGTTTAACTATCCACTGTGATGAATATTATTTCTTATACTCTTCATCTGACTTTGTCAATATTTTCACTTAGTAAACGGATGTAATAAGTAACAAGCAGGATTAATAAACGTTTATATCAAATCCAACATAAGCAGCGACTAATTGACATGTATCATTGAAGCTTTGGTCTTCCCAGTTGTGTAAGTAGACTGAATTTGGTTGTGTATATCACAGCAAACATGAGTTTCACCAGTTCTATGAATTTATAATTAGCGATCCTGAAACTAAAGTCTACTTATTCCTTGGTGTTTTTTGTTAGACATTTTAAACTGACTTAACACCATCTCCATCGACCACACTGTTTTCTAGGTCTAATATTTTCATAATTGAGGAGCGGAATCCCTGTGTAGAAAATGAAATGAGTCATGTAATTGCTGGTCACTTCTTTAGTTCATTCGATTGTTTTTGCTCTGTTCTTATACTATGACATTGTTTTCGTTACAGGGTCACTTTTAGAGCATCATTTTCTGAAGATAATTTTATAGAGAATACTTACTTTGATTTCCGTCTTATTATTATTGTATGGTCTAATTGTTTACTATCACATTTATTTAAGAAAACGATAATATCTTCGTTTTTACTCAATTTCAGTCGGTGAGCAACACTAGTTCTCCGAAAATAAGTAAACCTTCTGATCTTTGTCGGGAAGTTGAAGAATGGTTGGAATCAAGACCATCATGGATTGATCAAAAACATCAGGTGAGCTTCCAGTCTTAAAATAATTTTTGCTTATATAAGAGCTTAAATGATTGTGCTTAAGATTGAAATGATACCTAACACTGTTTCCAAGAAATAAGTTGTAAAAAATTGACATTGTTTATTTTTTTAGTTCTACGCTTAGATTACAAACTGATAGAGAAAAAATCAAGTATCCACTTCAAGTCGCAGTAATTCTCTTTTCCTTTTATAATTTTCTCTGATGAAACTCAAGTTTCAATATTTTTAGGACTTATCTTTAGGTAGTACAAAGTTAATATAACCCAAACCCCATATTTACTTTTTGATTAGGATATTTTCATATATTTGGTTTATTCTCTGACACAAGTTTTTGTTAATAATAGTGTTCATCCATTAAATTTGAAAGATTCTCTAAATATACCTGCTTGCAGAGTTTTAAGTCGCCTTGGTGGTTACCGCTCTTGATCACCAAGTCCTAATCATATTAACCGGGATTTATGTTTCACATGTTAGTTTTAAATTGTTTTCATATTTCAATGATGTTCTGAGTATTTATTGTTGTCTTAAAACTGTTCTTACTAAGCTTATCTTGCTCCTTAGGTATATTTTGATTTTTTCCTCGTGTTGAGCACCTTTTGTGTTTTATTATATAGTCTTTTTTTCCTCTACTGATGTTGGCTTTTGTGACTCAGACTACTAAATCGTGCCTTCTCTTAGGATTTTCGTATTTATGAAGCAAGAATACTAGATTGATGTTAGTGTCAAAAACCCTAACTGATAGGTTGATAAGTATACTGTCTAAAGAATACATTTTAAAAACCTATTCACTGATCAAATAACAAGTATAAAATCCTCTTTCAATTATACATACGATACATAAGATAGCTTTAGCGTTTTTAACCTACATAAGGTTATACTGAGACTATAGTTTATGGATGACCTTTGATCTACACCAAGGTGACCTTGAGAAAACTCATCTCCTTATGAAGGTCAAAAGAGGGTTATTAATTAGTATAGTGAGTTAGGATTAGGATTTAAATTTAAAAGTTAGGCTTAGGAATAAGAGTCGTGTCTAGGGTTAGGGTTTTCATCACGAACTGACACCAGGTTGGACACAAAATATTTCATTTAACTATATAGATGAATGAATTTCTCTCCAAAATCTAGTATTTACTATCTTTAATTTCATTGGTTCCTCCATGAATCATAGTCTCGCCGTTATACATATTTATTTAATAGTTGCATCCACGGGTCGATCTCAGCCGAAACGCCATGGAAAACCTGTAAGCACTGGATGGCGGTTTCGTCCTAGCATGGGACTCCTCACCGGTGCACGTCCACGGCGCCAATCGCTGGATTCGAACCCAGAACCTATCGATCTCGCGTGCGAACACTTAGACTCTAGACCACCGGAGTCCAATGGTGTTATTGTCTAACTTCAACTGGCTCATAAATTCAACTATTAAATTATTATAATATCCACAAAACCACTCTCTGACATATTTATTTATTTTATTTTTCCTACAAAATCTTGATGGTAATTTCATTATTTAATCTGGACAATACTTACTTAAACTTCAAACTTACTTTTTAAAAAACTAAGTAAAACATTTGTCAACTGATTTTATTCAGTTATTTTCATGTGAATCACATTAAATTGCAGGGATCTGTTTATCTGATAACAAATGATTACAGGAATTTCGACGTTTATTGTTGAAAACTACTCTTTTTATCGTTTGAAACAGTTTGATATCACTAACCAGTTACAGATACAGTCTTCGCAATGCTACACAGACATAACTTATCTCCACATGTCCTAATAAAGGGTGATCAAATCTCAGTCAAAATACCGACAACAAAAGATAATTTAAACCACTTCAATCTGAATGGAAACCTATACTGATTACACAAGTGGATGACTATCCAAATTGCTTTCTGGACTCAGTAGTTAGGTGTACTGTAATGGATTCGAGTCTAAAAGTTAAAATCAACTCCGGGATGCAGGTATATCCATCCGATTATTTTCAAACAGAACGAAATGGGCGTCCTGAATTCCGATGCTAACTGCATTCCACCTATTATTTTGTTAACTACATTACTGAGAAAGATTAGTCAAGTTTACTAATAATTAAGTGTTTCTTGTCGTCCGGAAGAGATAACTCTCTGTAAACTTCACAAATCACCAAATCTTTGAGATATCCACCTACACACGACTAGCTTATATAAGTCTGTGATAAAATCTATCTTCTAATTTTAAAAAAATCTGCACAAATCGTCAAGCTAAGCTGAAAAAGTGTTTACATAATTAATAAAATTATAGGTCAGATTGAAACAATCTCATTCGTAGTCATATATATTATTGTGTGAGATGTCTGCTGATGAAATCATAAGTATGCGAGATAATTAACTTTGAATCAAGTACCCTGCAGAAATTAGAATATTAATGACTTAAGTTAATTCTTCTTAGTCAATGTTATGATGACAAACTTTTGCTAATGATCGATAACTTAGTTATAGAACGATATAATCTTTTCCAATTAAGTTTTATTATTAGTATGGTATAGGGCGAATTAAATCAAAAACCAATCTTAGTTAAGCGATCATTGAAAAACTTGAAGAGCTATACGGCCGTTTCGTCTTAGTGTAAGATTCCTCACTTTTGAGAATCCACAACTCTGCAAACGAGAATCAAACCCTCGACAGATTTCACATGTGCGAACGCCTAACCTCTAGACCATTGAACAGGGATACAATCAATTGATCATATTTTGTGACTATCTTTCACTGTGTTCAGTAGGTGCCTTCCGTATACATGACAATTTTTAGCTCCATTAGTCACAGCTTATCATCAAAATTCTGAGTGTTTCCTCTCAAATCTAGTCACTAGTGAGCATTTATTAATTATCTCTATACATTTATGGATTGATTGAAGCCAAGCCGATATACCATTTGAACCTGGTTCCATTAGTGCGTGTGACCAAAAGTTCCGATTCCAATTCCCACAAGGAGGGTTGTGGATGCTCGTTGTTAAACAGTCTCATACTGAGTCAACATGGTTGTTCAGTGTCTCCGGGTTTTCAATGGTGGTCTAACTTATATCGACTGATGATTTTGTATAAATTCAATAATTTTTTATAAGTTTAAGCATTAATTACATTACTGAAAAAAAAGTGTGCATTTTAAGAGGGTAATAGTTAACTGACAATCAATTCTTCAATAGACCTCAAAACTTTCCTTCACCATTTTTTTCTATATGAATAATTAAGCACTTAATATAACATAATTAATGAAAGAAAATTGTAAATCTATGTATTTTCTTATTTTGTTTTATGTATCATTCTGTGATCGTAGAAACATGAATTAAAATTGCTTGTATTTCAAATTCTATGTATCAATATTTACTATATAATAGTGGTATGTAACAAATATTTTTGTAGATAGTATCCATGGTGCAAAATTCAATGTCTCTTAATAAATATGAAAAATATTTACTAGAATAATTGATAGATTTTTGATAATGATATCAGATTACTTCATTTGTTTGAATATGTAATGTGAATTACTCATTTGATTGTATTATCAAAACAAATGGAATAGATTCCATCTAAAGAAATTGATTACATTTAAAGCTTATATATCAGCTCGTTGTTGTCGTCTAGGAGAAAAATGAAAATTATTGGAAAGTAATCTTTGATAATGAAATCAATTATATGTCAGTATCATATTGTTAGATTAGAAAACGTTTACAAAAATATTTAAATCGATAACTAACAGTTTTGAGGTAAATTTGTAAAAAATTTTCATAAGATTTGAAGCCTAATTGACATTACATAAGTTGAGATTGATGAAGTAGTAAATCACCATTAAAACATAGTGAGATCCATGCTTTATTATAAACTCATGAGAGTTTCATATGTAAACTGTTATATTCTGTCACATTGGGTAAATGGTATTATGATTGCCTGGAGATTTTATTACAATGGTATCAACTTTTTATGGTATTGTATGTAGACACTTTTAAGCGATTGTAAACAGACAATTTTTTTGAATTGTGGACCTTTCTTTTTGATCCTATCACGTCATCGACGTTTATTTTCATTTTTTAAAAAATGAAGTTCTTGGTTATTCCATAAGCGTTAAACCAGCTCGTGATAGTGGTCATGTCTTTGATTGATTATTTTCCCAGGCTTCATTGTCTTTATTTACCCTTGTATTCAAGCTTACCATCTTGTTCATTCGACCTTCGGTCATATAGTTGATTAACTTTGGTAGATCAGGTCTTTGTCGACTCATCTACTGATTGTTAATCTATCTATATGAAATACTTCTAGAAATTCTTCAATATTCTTAGAATGCTCTTAACTAAGAATTTTTGTCTGTCATTGTTCATATGCATGAAAAAAGTCAATTAAAGATTTAACAACTCTTCAATACTGTCTTTCTTCTGATTCTAAAATCAACATATTAAGAATTTATTTTAATTAAATGTTTTCTCGTTCCGATTTCAAATGGTCAGTGCTTAGAAAGTGAAGTAGGAACAAACTACTTTATAGACATCAGCAGACATCGAATGTAATCTAGGACACATGAAGATTATTATGATACTCTAGATTAAGAACGAATATTTAAATGTTACATATTTTCACCATGATAATCGTTATTAAACAACTTCAAAACTCATAGTATCGAAATACTTGTCATTAGTTAAATGTCATCTACCTATTCAGTATTCAGTAGCAGTATATGACAAGCGATATACACTAAACTGCTACTTTTTCCTTATGGTTAAAAGCTACTTCAAATGGAGAAGCAAAAACTTTCATTTGAATAGCTGTTAATTTATTATTGACTGACTTCAACATACATTTCAAAGTTTAACCAAAGAGCTACAATTATTAAAATTCCAGCACGATGAGGGTTGATACAGTGACACATTATTGACGCTAGATAATTGTTGCTTTATTTAAAGATGAATTTATTCCAATTCACTGGTTTTAATTTCTTTATACAGAGTAATTCAAACTAATTACTAGAAACTAAGTTGAAAAACATAGATCTAAAACTGTAATGAAAATAAAATAGTTCACGTTCTCAATGACCCAGACAGACAAGCAATAAATATTTAAACTGATATAATAATATAATCCATTTCAATGAGTTATGTTGTTCATAAGCACACACAAATATGTGATAATTTTAGTGTTAAATTAAATGTGATAGAAAGAATGAGCTTCAAAGTGAAATACGTTAACTTTGAACAGTATATCTACGTAGCAATCAGAATATACTTGGGCTTCTCTTAAAAATAAAGCAGTCATAGAAAAAAAAACAAGGAAGAACAACTTAGCATTTATCATAGTTCATATTCGGTTTGAATTTGTTTAGTCCTCTCTTTTTTGTCACTACGACAAAAATTACAAATTATATGCTTACTCCCATGCATCTTCCGAAATCTGATTGTGTAAAAAAAGAATAAATTGATTTCTCTAATAACTGGAAACACCTTAATTAAATTTTTTATTGTCATATTGTTGTTTTATTCTAACAATTCAAGTCGGTTTGTTAATAAACACTAAATTTTCATAAATATATGGAATATTCACTTGGTATTGTTTGTTTGAATATTCTCATTGATGTTTAGGAATGCAATTGATCAGTCTCTTATTGGCATATGTCTATACTATGCATATTGCTTCGATTTAGTCTTAATTCACAAGCATTATAAACAAAGAAGGATAGCGGCTAGCAGTGGAATTCAGGAGTCCCAGTTTGAAAATCAACTCTGAAATGCAGGTACATCCGGCTGACGAGTCCCAAATAGGACGAAACGCGCGTCCTGGATTCCACTGCTAGCCACCACCTATCTTTCCTTATATATGGAATGTATCCATATTCTATATGTTTATTTACATTCTTCAAAATCTCAAAACTGTTAACAATCCATTTTATATAAATCAGTATTTTAATCTTAGATTATTTAAAGTTTTATTTATAAATTATGATTAGTTATCCTAGATTGAAAATTAAACTGTTACTAATTCTCAAATAACCTTGAAATGAATAATTATCCAATCACATACAAGCTATTTTCTATTGGTTGATTGAGTGATTGCTTCATTACAATTATACACAATTCTGTTTATTTATTTATTTACAAAAATAAACAAATTTAGTTAAATTTGATTTTGTTGTTTTACCTTGTAAACTGTCAGTCACGATGTAAATCTAATTACTGAATGTTATACAAAAGTGAATATAAACCTTTATTATAATAAAAAAGTCACTAAACTAAACCAGATGGATTGGTATTTAATTTGCGCTCTAACGTAAGTTTTAAAAATTAGATTTTCCTTTTTCATTATTTATATCACTAAAATATGGAATTTAAAGCAATTAGTCCCTTTGATAAATTTCGATAGTGTAATAAGAAGACGAAGATTATCCGAACTATGTGTTGATATATTAGCGCAATACATTTCAAACCCCCTTTGTGTATTTAAAAACAGTTTGTTCTTTCCTTAAACCTACCCTGGTAATATTACCTTATTATCCAGAGTGATTAGGTATCAAATTGTTTTCATATTATTTTTATTATTATTTTCCTTGATAAACTCTTACCCCCCCCCATTTCCAGTCTAGTTGACCTTTTATTTTTATATATGAATGTTCTTAACAAGTATATGTGTGATCACGTTGTTTGAAATGTATTGCGTTAATATATCACATTGTTCTGATAATCTTCGTCTTCTTATTACACTATCAAAACTAAAATATGAATAATTTATAAACATACAATTCATCCATTGTTCTGTTTTTTTTAATTCTTAGAAAAATAATCCAGCATTACAAATTTGCTTCCTAAATATATCTGAACAAAATTTGTTCTCTTCAATGGAAGCAATAGTTGCTGAGCCTTATTTGGATAATATTGATTATAGAACTGAACAAAATAATATAGAAACTAATTTATTTTCAAATGTGAATTGTATTAAAACAAATGATATTATTCAAACATCTAGTTCATTTGATGAAAATGAAATTAATTTAAATAATATTGAAGATCATAATGATAATTCACAGAATTTAACATTGAATGGTAATTCATTTTATATAAATCATAAAAATCAAAGGAATTCATCGGTATCTGGAAGATCATCTTTATTATTAGCTTTTGAATCTTCGGTTAATTTAATTGATTTATTGAATGAGGTCTGTCAATTAATGTGTATTTCATTCATTTTTCTTATGACATTTTTTGTGATATGTTTAGTGGTAATTTTAAAATTGTTTCAATATAATCTATTACATTATATATGATATTTACCTGGATATATCTCAACACCGCTGAGGAGTACAGCAATAGGATTAAACAATTGTCTTATATGTTCCTTGGATTTCCAACCGTTCACGAGTTAAAGTCAATTCATGATGAAAACTTCCCTATATAGGATAGTTTCAACTACTTTTTTGTAGTACTTAATCACTTTGGGAAAACTAATACACAGATTCAGAACTATCCCGTATTTGTTGAAAGTCATCAAATAGTTTTAATCTTAGCTATTATGTTGTTTGCTAGTGATCAACAAAGGTTAGAGTAACACATTAGTTGGTTATAATTGGTGATACTTTGTAAACAATAAATTATTTATAAAATCGTTTTTAAAATTCTTAAACGAATAATTATTCAGTAGGATTTTAGTTTTTTTCGTAGATAGTAAAGTTAACTTTTAAAGTTGGTTTTCTACGCCCTTAGCAATTAATCTACCAACTGCGTTACTATATTTTTTTAGTTAATCAATAAGCCGTGAATATTTCTATCTGTTTTTTTCAATATGTACTTGGAAAAATATAAGCCTAGATGAGTGGTATATATATAATCATTGATAACCCACGTGGTAGTGTTAACTGAATACCAGATCACGACAAAAAACGATGTATGAATCTGAATAGATGTATAAGTAGGACCAAACTGAAAAATTCATTTACGTTTGACTGAAAATAAATAATGAATCTTTAAACAGTTTACAGCTAAATTCATTGAAAAATAAGATAGAATAACTGTTAAAAGAATAGTTATTAAAAATATACTCATTTATTAGAGAATAAGCATTCATTTCTCAATCTTCTCAACACATTCTTATTTGTGTCAGTAAGTTAATAACAGTGTCTTGATCCAGTATGATATATAAAAATACGGCTGAGCTGATTTGTGACGTTTCAAAAGTTCACCAAGTGTCGTACCCGAAGCCTAGAGTCATTTTTCTCCGGTTATTTAATGATTGGTAGCTGGATATTTACAAACAGTCACACTAAATGAACGGTAAAAAGACCAAAAAAAGTGCTAAGCTTGGAACATTTGACAAAATTTGAATACGCTGTGAATAAACTCAGCCAAATAAGCAAAATAGGATTTTCAGTACTTCTTTAATACTGCAACAACTCCAATGGTGTCAATTGTTTTATATAACTAGAAGTATCAAGTAACTCAAAAGATTTTGTTTAAATGTAGTTTTAATTCATCCAATTACAATTTCCGATAGAAAATGGAACATTAAAAAGCAATTAAGTATAAATCACTATCTTCATCGTAAAACTATAGTTTGTATTTCTAGATTAATTCTATGATGTATGTCTTTTAAAAACATAAAGTTGTCTCTTTATTAAAATAAGCACATTAGTACACTGGGAGGCCTAACAACAGTCTTGATAAACCGTAATAAATTGTTTTAAAAACATTAATGGATTTAGTATTAGAATTGATGAAATGTAAATTAGAAATCTAAACAGATTGACGCGATATGAATTGGTTGTATTTCAATTACATATTATCATTATGAAATTTTAAATAGAAATTTAACATGCTCAATTAATGATACAGATGTTTTTTTTTCATAAAGCTTATAAATGTGCTTTTATGGTATTGATAGTCGAGTGACATTGTCAGTCAATAATTACCACAGAAATGTATCCAGTTTTCAACATTTATCTATACCTCATAATATATTTTCTATTTGATTGAATCACAATATTTGATGAAATGTGGTCAAACCAAGGATAATCACTGGATTCTATTCCTAACGACTCCATACAGACTTATGAAAGGTCTCATACTAGGACACAACAACTACCTATTTCTCTTTACTTTTCACTGGTTACCGCACCGTAATGAATGACACCTACAAATTAAACTAATTATCAGTAGACTCAATGAATTTTTACTAACACCTTCATTATTTCAGTGAATAATGGTTTACAAGTTAGAAATCTGTTACATTCAGAAAAATTTAACTGATCATTATTATTATATACAATTAATTTTAGATCAATATGTATTATGAACGATTATTAGATCAATGTATACAAGATTGTTTTGATGCACGATCTATCGTTTATTTACAAGAATTAATAAAGAATCATAAACGATTTCAAACAGAAACACAAATTGCTATTATTCAGGTAAGATGATTATTTGTTTTTCTGAATTATTTCATAAGTGGTTATAAATAATACTTTACAAACATATAGAAAACGTCAATCTAATGAAATAAACAAATGGCGCTTTTACTAAACGTACTATCTTGAGAAACTTTTCAAGATTAACCGAATTAATAACAGAGAGGGGTTTTTGTGTATATTATAGTAATTTTAATAATTGAGATCATGTGTTCAAATCTCACAAGGTGAGATCGTGGATGATCAATTCTGAGAAAACCCACAATAGGACGAAACGGTTGTCCAGTGCTTCTAGGTTTTCCATGGTGGTCGAGTATGAATTGACTCATGATCGTAACTATTAAAATTAACCGAATTATTTCTTTAAATATACTCACTTTATTTGATGACGAAACATTTGGTCTGTATTGAGAAATATTGACTGAATAATATACATGTTTATTAGTTAGATTAAAAAAAATCAAAATATCATATTGTTTCTATCAAACCATTGATTAGTACCACAATCTTTCATTCCATAGTCATATCTTAAAGTTTATTATTATAGGATAGTAATCTTAAGTTTTACTGTCAAGTGCATCGTCACATAAACTGAGATTAAACTAAATGATAAGACTAGTTTCTCTGAATAAATAATGTTTTTCCATGAAATAAGTATTTCTTAGCTAGTTTATGAGATCATTAAAAACCGACTGAGTTCCAATACGGAATATTAAACATGACTCGTTACTTTGAGTTAATTTTTTTCTAATTTGATCACTGTGAATATATCAGTAAAATGTTTTTTGTACATACAGGCTGTAAATGATATATTTTACCAAGAATTGTTTACAGAACTACAATACTTAAAGGAGGGAAGGAATGATAATGTAAAAGTCTGCTGGAAGCGTATTACTTAAATTATATAATTAATCCGAAACAAATTTTTGTTACACTAAGACATAGTTGAAATTTTCTTTGTTTCTAAATATCTTGAGTCTAAATTTCAGTTTGATCAGTTCTCAACTTTATGAATCACATATTTAAGCTTATCAGTATAGGGTTGTGGAGATTGTTGAGTTTCCATTAATATCATGAATGGATGACTTTTAGAACACCATCAAAAACGTGGAAACACTGGACAACCGTTTCGTCCTAATATGAGACTCTTCAGCAGTGCGCATCTACGATCTCACACAAGGTACTCGAACCTAGGACCGTCGGTCTTGCCGGTCAACGCTTAAACTATAAACCTTTGAGCCGGCTGTCATCCGGCAGAGTTGATGTCTAACTTCAATCAACGGCTAACGGCACTATTTTGGTTATCTTATCAGAAGTAGAAAAATTTAAGTTTGTAATATTAGATTTACAGTTGGTTGACATTCATCTAAACCATGGAATCGTATCTGGTTTCATTCGTTACCAACTAATCAATAATTCTGATTATTTTTATTATCAGGTGTCTTAAAAGATTGTAACTGGTAACCAGGATAATATTATTACTTGTATTTAGATAATTTGGACAGTTTTTTTCACTTATCTTCTAATTACTAGGGTGTGGTATTCATAATCTAAAAGGACAACCATCATTATAGGTTTTGACCACATCATTACCACTGAAATCAATGAAAATATAGCGGTAATTATAAACATGGAAAAAATAAACTAGATGACTGAATTTGGGTAAGAATGAGGCTAGAGGACAAAAAAATCGTCTTTTGCCTCCTTCACCAAATTGATTTTTTTGTATTGTCATGACAACATTGTTAGGGCTGAAAAATACATAGAGTTTAGATATTTTCTTTGTCTCTGACTGGAAATAAACCAGAGTTTTGAGATGACAAGTAATAAAATGATTATTGATGAATTTATATTGCATATTGGGTCGACAAATAATTCTACATAGACTATATTCAACAGATGTGTATTTCTCTATTTTTACTATAGTCTCTTTAGCTCAATAAAAGTATTTTGTTTTTAATGAGATATTCGTGATGACTTCATTTAACGTAAATGATTGTGTATTACAGCAAACCAGTCATACTTTTGAAAGTTATGCAATCAAATGTATGAAATAGTATCTTTGTGTGTTAGTCCCAATCAATCATACTGATACTTAATATATATTGTAAGAGATATCTTACGTTGCTTAATATTTGTTCTTGAAATATTTTAAATTACAATAACTTAAGTGTTTAACAGAATGAGAATTGTGTTTATCTCAATTTCTAGTGTCGTTTGATTTCTTTTGAATAGCTGAATAACAGGTCAATTCATTTTTGGTCAATAATAATCTATCTTATTGTCCAATTTCATCAGTTTACAGTACTTTGTTAAGTAATCTGTAGTACATGCAAAATAGCTTTGCTGTTCGTTTAAGATAAGCAAGTTTTGTAAACATGTATACGTTTTATATTTTAAAATATTAAGTAATTAAGAGATTAGTATGTTGTTCAAATAAATACATGAACACAGTTAAAGTTGGAAAAGTCATCTTATCCATTTTGATAATTTAAGTTTTATCCATTAACCGATCGTCACAGCCAAAAGATCGATTTACAAATGAACGTTAAGCTAATGTACATTCAATTTGGCGCAAAATAAGTAATATGATGCATTAGTTACATTAATATTTCAAAATACTTGCGTTTAGAGTGAGAAAAAAGTTTATATATATATATATATATATATATATATATATATATATATATATATATATATATATATATATATATATATATATATTCCAGCCTGAAGATAATATCCAGTTGATGTTTAATTCGAAAACAATGTTCTGAATGTATTTTTTTGATCATCTAAGTAAATAAGTACAAATAAGTAAAACAGTCAAGAGGGCGAGACTATAGTTCATGGACGAACCAATCAGATATAAGATAACAGGTCTTGAAATTTGGCGTGACATTCATTCTTCCATCTGGCTAAATAGTGTTTCGGCATTTAAAGTTGATGTCAGTTCGTGGTGGAAACCCTAAATTTAATTCCCAACCCTGACCATCGACTGTAAATTCTTATCGTAGTTCCTCACACTGGTTCATAACTCACATTTAGTCCTAGTTAATAGGTTGACATCTTCAAGGTCACTTTGACGTCGCTCAAAGACAGTCCATAAATTATAGTCTCACCGTTAAGGGAACAAAATATGATCAAATAATTTATAATTACTGTAGAGGTATTATTAAATTTATTGCTCAACTTTTGTAGTTTATTCATTATAGCCTGATTCAAGATACATCTTAGTTTTTCAATAGGTGTATTGTTTACCAACGCTTCTGTTGTGATTCCTTAATATTTAGCTACATATAATTGTTACTGTTCAAAATCTTCAGTCTATATGTCTAGATTTTATATGAATAATGTGAAATGGCTTCATATTTTCTACGTTTTTATTTCGTTGACCATTTCTTCGAATAATTTACTTGATACTCGAAAGTAATTGTATTATTTTAGCTAGATTTAAGGATATTAGGTTACTTACTAAGATTGGTGAAGAGTTCATATTAAGCTAGTTTAGGCGAGACTATAATTTATGGACGACCTTTTAATGAATCTCGAGTGACCTTGAGAAATATTAATCAATCAGGTGACAGTATAGAGTAAAAATATATTATACAACACCAAGGAATTAGAGTTGATACACTTCTTTTAAATGGTTCAAAAACCTGTCAAGGTTAGAAAAAGGTTCAAAGGTTCTGAAACCGTAATGCATAAGGTAGAGGAACTCACCCATATGGCTCCATAATAGTTGGTCTCTGGAACCATGATAAGGTCACAAAAACTCTCTCAGCCTCGACCACGTAGCTTCAATATTGTTTGTATTTACTCCGGTTGTGTAAGTCTGTCATTTTTATTACCCATATATCCCTACAATACTCATACCTCTGAACAGCCAGAGCTTCCGCAACATCTGCGAATATTGCAGCCAATAAAACTGGTGCTTTCATTATACAATTTGCAGCAATTATTATAATTTGCCCTAGTCTCAATCTGGATCGAGAGAAAAACGTTCTTATTCTAGAAGGCTTCTTCCTATAACATATATTACATCGGAAGATAACATCATCAGGGTAGTCTGCACAAGGTCTTCAAGTCAATTGATTACCGCAACTACAAGTAAAGGACCTTCTAAGTAGTCTTATTTGTTGTAGTCACTCAATTATCACGTCTCTAAAATTCTCTGTGAACCTATTGTACATGAGCATCAGGTACTTAAATTGGCGCTGTGACCCTGAAATCGTTCAAACGCTTCTGATTGGCTCGTCCATAAATTATAGTCTTGCCGTAGCTTAAATTCACTAATAAAGATTTTTGTCAAAGACTTTCTGTTATTCATATTTCGCTAACTAGAAAGATACTATTAAAGTGCATTTTTGTATTGATTGGTCATTATTATTTAATTTTCGTCGAAACCTATGGAAACTTCTATATAATTTAACAAATTTAGTGATAAAACATTGAAATATATAATTAAAACTTATGATTTAATTCTTATTCAGAGTCTTTTTTGTCAAAATTATTATTCAATATTCATTTGATTACATGCATATGGATACATACAAATAAATTTGTGATTACATAACCAGCGTTTTCATATTGTTGGTTCGTTGGGATTTTCTTTATTGTAGGTTCCAAAAATATCTGCGATGCAAGCAGAAGTTGAACGTACAAAGATTTCATCGATAACTCCAAACATAGCAACATTGGTGAGTAAACTTTTTTCATAATTACATTAAGGAAGCTTCTTTTTATTTTAATTGTTAAACATATCGATATACTGATTTTGTCTCATATATATATATATATATATATATATATATATTGGTTGTTTAGTTCTTCTCACTGTTATAGACTGATGTGCATTCGGCTGATGAGTCCTGAATAGGACGAAATGCGTGTGCTTGATTCCATTGCCAGCCACCAGCCACCTTTTCCCAAAATATTGATACTCCGTTTTCTTATATGTAAAATCTTATTATTTTAATTTTAATTGGGTTTCTTTTAGATAAAATTGTCAACTTAAAATTTTTCGGCAATTTTTAATGAAATCACTGTTTAAATATTCATAGGTTATCAGAAGGGGTTTTGTGGAGATTTTAGTATTTTTATAGAGTTGAGATCATGAGTCAATTGAAGCTAGACTACCATGGAAAACCTGGAAGCACTGGACGGCCGTTTCGTCCTATTATGGGACTCCTCAGCAGTGCGCGTCCACGAACCCACTCTCGCGGGATTCGAACCCAGGACCTACCAGTTTCGAGCCGAAGCCCTTAACCGATAGACCACTGAGCTGGCATCCAACTGACTGACTCCTTGAGGTATTTCCTGGAGTTCTAGTGAGAAGCAGTAACCGGTGGAGTTCAACCAGGTCTGTTGTGAGATAGGAACTCACTGATGACATTGGTGAATGGTTGCTCAATTTCGTGTATTCATAGGTTGTTTAGTAATACCTAATGAGTTAAGATTCACCGAAGTAAAAGATATTATTTAGACATGAAGTTATGATTAATAATAATTGTAGAAACCGTTACTTAGCTAATTGTTTTCACAACCATGTATAGGGTTTCCAGAAGGAAAGATGAAAACCTTTAATGCTTTTGATTCAGAAATGTATTTCTTTTCGTAAAATACTAAACGGAGAAAATTGAATTCAGTGAGATAATTGTGACTGACGGAAAAAACCCTAAAGATTATTTTCTGTAATAGAAGTTATCAATGTGATATTGTGTTAATTGTAGTGCTAAATAATCAAAAAGTTGACTATAGGGCTATAAAGTTTACTATGATGTGGAATAACCTTAAGTTTATAATAATTTTACTCTGAAAAACTGACTAAATACCGGGCACAGTAAATGAGGTTGGATAAAATATCATATGATTTACTGAAAAGTGACAAACGAATAAATAGTTTTATCCTTCTACTCATTTACAAACACGTTAGAGTGGAAATGTAGTTAAGTCACAAAAGTATTCGACCAGGTGTGAAATAAATGATTGTTCATAGTGACTTTATATTTCAGAGGTGATAAATACCCAATGAAGTTTGTTCTCACAACTTAGATCCCCTTACAAATAAACAATCTGTAATCTTAACGCACTTTTTGTTGCACATCAGATGGTCTCATACGCACTACAGCAAATACTTACTGTCAACATTTTTTTTTACATGATTGGATGATCAATTCAGTATACAATTAACCATGCACCTGTTTATATTAGATAATTTTGATGTTTGATTATATTTCCTTGAAAAAGCTTCAACCAGATTGCCAAGCGAAACGTTGGATTTACTTCAAATTCAATTGCTGAGAGTCTACAAATATATTTTTTCTCCTTAATATCTTACTTTAACTCGGTGCCCAATTACTGTGAAACTATTCGATCAAATTTAGACGTAAGTTCGTATATATAACATCGAAAGCAGTGACCAGTGGAATTCAACCACGTCTGTTGTGAGATAACAACTCACTGAAGGCAATTGGTGAATGGTCGCTCATAATTAGAGGATCAGTTGAAGTTACACATTAACACCATCGGATGCCGGCTCAGTGGTCTGCCGGTTAAGGGATCTGGCTCGTAACTGGTAGGTCCTGGGTCCGAATCTCGTGAGTGCGGGATCGCGCACTGCTGAGGAGTCCCATAATAGGACGGAACGGCCGTCCAGTGTTTCCAGGTTTTCGATGGTGGTCTAGCTTCAATTGACTCATGATTTCAACTTTGAAATATAACTTTGTATTGTTTGAGTTAGACCGTATATCGGTCGATTACTAGTTCTTCAATCTCATAAGAGTAGAGTTACTATTTTCCTAATTATTTATCATATTTAAATGCTCAAAGGATGCCTGTTGAACTTTCCACATTCATTATATTTCATTATCGTTTGAGACGATTTATTATTCTGAGTTGTTCAAATAAATAACGAAGAATGAATCGTTTTAACATTTCAAAAGGATTGGATAGATAAATTCCGAATTTTTTTGACAAGCTTTTGTATTTTAAGTTATCGTAAACGTATAGGGAAATTCGTCATGTATATTACATTTATGGGGATTTAGTTTTTAATGTTGATCTGTCTAATCTGGTTTATCTGATCAGTCATAGCATAGTATCTTTTTTTATTGTTTGACAAAAGGTACACATTATGAAACTAAGCACTGTTTATACGAAGGTATTTCTGTATATGGATATTGTTATTTTTATACACAATAATCACATAGATTATTTTTAATACAGACAAACATTTAAATAAGTAATTACTTTATTTTAGAAACTGCATTTCACATAAACTCACATGATATTGTTTGTTTGAATATTCCCATTGATGCTTAGGACTGTTGTTGATCAGTCTGTTATTGGCATATGTGCATCCTGTACAGATTGCCTCTATATTGCCTTAGGTCATAAGCATCAGAGTTGATGTTTACTCCGGGATGCAGGTACATCCAGCTGACGAATCCCAAATAGGACGAAACGCGCTTCCTAAAGTCCACTGCCAGCCACCATCCATCATTGCTTACATTTCATATATCTTATAACTGTTGTGTAATTTAGCGAAATGCATATCGAATGATTAAACATTAGGGTATATTGATGTCGTAAAAAACATCAAATATTAGATAGGAAGTGACTTAATCTATTAAATAGTTCAAATTTAATTTTAAATAAAAGTATTTTAAGCGTTAGTGCATTTTACTTGTATAAACTAGTGGTTTATTTATACATCTTTATTTACACTCTCGAAAGTGGAAAGGAGTAGAAAAGTGTGTTCAAAAGTTACATGTCATTTACTTAATAATATTCATTTTTATGTTATGAATATTTATACGATTGTTTTTTTGTTACAGTTAAGTATAATTGACTTGAGAAGAAAAGATTTTCTGAATAGATAAGTTGGTTCAGGACAATGTGTCTGTTTTTACTGGAACATTTCAATATTTTGATCATTCACTAGATAAATGAATCTTAAAAACTCTACCTTTGTGTCTGGTTTGCCTATTAAAAATATTGTTAAACAAATTTTTAATTGAGATCATGGACCGATCGATGCTAAACCACCGCTGAAAACTTGGAAACGCTGGACTCTAGTATGAGATTCCTTAATAGTGTTCATCCACAACCCCGCACGCGAGACTCGAAATCCAGGACCTTCATTCTCGCGCGTGAACGCTTACCCTATAAGCCACTTAGTCTAACGGTATTATTGTCTAACTTCAATCAGTCCATGACTTTATTTCCTTGTTTACTTCTCTGGGAGTGTTTATCATTTTTATTCATTTTTATTTATACCATATTTTTTATAAAGAATTAAGATTATTGATTGTTTTTGGAGTTCTATTTGACATATATTGATTCCTGTATAGAATCTTCATCAAGGTTTATTTAATCCACGCCTAATTAATCGATAATGGGGTGGGACTGATTACTAAGAAGTATTCCTTGTGTGTGTGGTTATTTTTTCTTTCCGTGAAGAATACGTTATTTTTTGGATCTATTATTTCATTTATTACTTTGATATTTATATTGCCTATGTTATGAATGTAACACAATCTTTACCATTCAAATATCTGCTTATAATAAACATTGAAATTGTTCTTTTGGGCGTTTGTTAAGCAAAAACAACTCTGACAATAAATTTCTCGAAACATAAAACTATGGACTTTCGGTATGATTAAAGTTATCCTACTTCTGATATTCAAGAATAAATTCTGATCATTCTTTACTGGCAAATGTGCATCTAGTGAGTAATCCCTTGATATCACATTTGTATTGTTTATTGAGGCAAAAAATTATTGTTTCTAAGTCCCTGTATTAACATCAACATTGATATGCTGGTACATACAACTGACAAATCTCAACAGGATAAAAGTCATGTCCTGCATCCTACTTCTCGCCACAATCCATAGATTTTATAAAAGTTGTGAACATTTTAGTTTTTTTTAGTAACATAATAACTAAAGGTTAAATTAAAATAACATTACTTTTTATAGCATCAAATTATATCTAAATATCATAGACTTAAAATTGTGAAGATAGTCACATAAGTTAAAATTTCTACTCAACAGCGTTGCAAATAACGGTTATCAATCAAAAACTTCATTATTTTGTTTTCTTTCTTCGTCTTCCTTTACTATTAGCATTTTATATTCTGGACAGTCGTTAGTGCTATGATCTAAAACGATTATTTTGTTAGAGATTCATGTCATCAGCTAGGTATACTTACATCTGCATTACTATTAGCGCTGAATCTAACACTGAGTATAAATTACTTAAATTTTTGCACGGTTCTCAACTGGGCCGATGAATTTCGACAGCTATCGTTTATTCTCAGTATGTGATATATGATAAAGTTAGTTTGAGTGATTCTTATAATAAGATCTGATTTGAAAAGCTTTCTACTTGCCTTTCATATTATCTTTAATTTCAACCAAAAATCACTACTCAATAAAAATAGTTCATTTGTTTTTCTCCAAATTATTTAATTAGGCTTGAATTTTTCGTGAAATTGTTCCACACAAAACATCCATTAAATTCCACGGTTATAGCAATTCTCGAATATATAGTGTGATCAAGATATATCAGATTAGAATTATGTTTTCAACGGATTAAGCAATTGTTAGTTCATATCTTTTATTTGTATTTCATATGTAAAAGTCAATATACTGTCTCCTTCAAGGATATTTCAAGGTTAAGTATATATATACATACATATATATATATGCATGTGTGGGATTGGCAAATTGAAACAAATGTACTATAAGTAATTTTTACTTATATTCATATTGTGTGACGAATTTTACTATCATACATTGAGAATGCTTATTCCATTACATATTCATTATGAATTATAACATCAAACAAATATTTTGATATTCACTTGGTATTGTTTGTTTGAATCTTCCATTGATGTTTAGGACTACAATTGATCAGTCTCTTATTGGAATATGTGTATCTTGTGCGTATTGTCTTGATATTGCATTATAGGCGAAAGGTACTAGGTTCGAGTCCCTGAGTGAAAATCAACTCTGAGATGCAGATAAATCCAGCTGACGAGTCCCAAGTTGGGCGAAAGGCGCGTCCTGTATTCCACTGCTAGCCACTATCCATCTTTGCTTATAAATATTTTAATAGCTTTGTAATATTAACCATCTTCATAATGAACAATTAGCAACGTTATAGTGATTAAATTGAAACCTTAAACGTAGGAAAATGTACATATTATTAATTTTTAATATAAAATATTTTCTAAACCGATATTCTATTCTATGTGAATCTAACATTTCCACTAATTTCTAAGTATATTTCTTAAAATGTGAATTTAAACAAACTAAAAAGATGAAAGAATTCTTTCATGTACTTTACTTTATTGAAATCTTACTTCAAAAGTAGTATAATGTATTGTTAGTTGACATAGTGAGTATTTTACACTTTAAAAAAGACAGTTATGCTAACAAAATGGGAGAAAAAGGACTTGAAACAAAAGTTAAGGAGTGATGTTTAGTTACCTACTTTATTTTTACGCAATGGGCGTTAACATGGATGTATTCAGTGTGTGTTTTTTTCTACTGAATAGTTCATTGATGTTCATTGTGTTCAGTGAGATAATGTGGATTCATGAATTCGCTTTTTTTAGCTAACCAATACAATATTCGTATGTGTACATGGAAAATGTGGATTAAATATTGGTGGAAATTGTTAGATTAATTAAATCAGTTTATTAATAAAAGTAATCATGTGACACACAAGAGATCATCAAAGATTTATGAAGCCTAACCACTAATCATATTAATAATTAACAGGCTAATTGGCAATCATTTAATAAGTCTTGTAATTAATAAAATAATGGGTACGCCTTAAAAATCTCAAAGTTTTGTTTATTTCCAATACTTGTTTTTAATTGCTTAATTATTTACGCCTGTTGTCCCTCGTGGAGGGTTATAAGCCACCCACCAACTCTAAACATTGAACTTCCGGTTGTCAATTTTATATTCTCATGATTACTCTATCTTAAATTGTAATCAGTGAATTTCATCAGTTTATGCTATACCCATCTTAAATGCAGTCGTAAATTAGAAAATTCCCTAACTTCAATTATCACTAATCTGGATATTTTGGTCCAATCAAGTTGATGATCATTGTTTGTACTAATATTTATTTTAGGGATTAAGTAACTACTTACAGTTAAGTACAAGGTCTGAGACCATTACGTGTTTTGACTGAGTTTCTTAGTAACCCTGATTAAAATTATTCTTCATTATGTAAGTAATTAATTTCGACATGTCTACATTTCACTCAACGATTATGTAGTATCTCTTAAAATTCTACTTCAACATTTATTATATAACCTTTTATTCAGTTTAGAACATATCAGTGATTTGAGCATTTTAATTAGATGAATCTTTGGTACGGCTGTAATTTATGGAAAACCTTTGAGTCATGCTAAAGTGACCTTGAGAAACGTCAACCACTTACTAGGGTCGAAATAGGGTTATCAAAGATAATGTAAGGAATTAGAACTAAGAGTTAGAGTTAGAAGTTAAGGTTTGGAATAAAAGTTGTAATTTCCATCACAAACTGGCAGCTAGAATGTCAAAATGTCATTTAACCGAAATTCAGAAATAACTATCTTGAGTCGGATTGACTCGTCCATAAATTATAGATCTGCCGAATTTTCTAATCTTTATCTGCATATGACTCACTAAATATTTAGCGGATCCTGAAGACTTCACATTTATGTTTGATTATTGACTGCTAAACCCAACTACATTTCTGTTCATTAGAAAATATACTTTACTAAAGAAAGGGTGTTTTTATCCAAGTTTTATTTACAGTTAATTTATAATTTTCCATGCAAGTTGATGTCATATATTCCTATACTCCAAAATAAATTATTAATAGTTTCCCCTACTTATTTCCTTTAATCTATCAGCTTCGAGTTGACGTCAGAAAGTTTCATATATCCAAAGAAGAATTAATTCAATTCTCTATTCCTCAATTGAAAGTTATTATGAATGATTTGCATTCTAGAATTGAAAGTGAGAACAATCGTTTTGATTGTATTTACTCTCTCATTTTGAATATTGTATCATAAACTGTAATTCAATAGTCTAACTTGTTAAAAAATGTATTATTAAGAACTAACTTAACATCAAATAAACACTCTTTATGACATTGTTGGTACATTAAGTCGATACTAGAAAACATCTAGGAAAATTGATATCGGATTTTACAAGTTTGTAGTGATTCACAACATTTTATGGTCGGATAAAACTGATCAGTCTCTATTAATTACGGATTAGTAGATTTCAAATGAATTAATTTTTTAATGGAATAACTGGAACTTTTGTATGTGATGTATGTATACGGCACAAAACTCAAGGGTATGTGTAGCCTTTAGTAAAAACAAAATCATCATTATAGTCATTGAATCCGTATGCAGTAGTTTTTAGAACCTGTCCAATCGGTAAGCCACACGTTAAGATTTTGGAATGTCCTTTCAAACTATGAATAGTTGGATTGTCATCGGCTCTTTCAGAGCTTCCTTGAGTTCACTGGTAGCCGTCTCCATGACTAGCAAACAAATTTCAGAAAATTAAGCCGGTTTTATGGGTGTATATGAATAATTAATAATTAGCAGTAGATTTTGTTTCATAGAGTAGCTAAAGTTAAGCAGGATTTATTTCAGTAACACTTTGAGATACATCTGACGAATTTCAGCTTCGAATTTAATAATTAGTTTTTAAAACAGTATGATAGATTCGAGTTAGTGTGAAGAAAATTGAAGTGTAGCCAGCATAAAGTTTGCCATAAAAGTTTTGTGTATGTTAGTAATACAGAGATGGAAGTTATAGAACATTTGTGAAAGAAACTTATCCCTTTGACATTTAAACTTAAATCATTCAACATTATTAATAGTTATATTATCATGGAAATCTTCGAAAATCATTGAATAAATGTACTCATCAGACATTACGTCAATGTCATAAGTGTATTGCTAATCTGAATTCACTTCAGATAGAGAGATAGCAATAATCGGTGATACATTATTCAATGAATCTCATTAAGTTAAGCACAAACTAGCACACTAATTGTTCTTTTGTTTTGCTTGTTCATAGTTTACTACCCTGTTAAGTAGTCTATAAAGTACCTCTGTCATTAAGTAACTTATTGATCAGAGAATACATACAAATATATAGTTACATAATACATGATAGTATTTAAAGGGATATTATATTACTGTACAACTACTGTATAGCATTTATGCATTAGAGTTCTAACTTAATAAGCTTTTTTCTGATAATATAAGGATTCAGCATTTCAATATTAACTTATTTATCAGTATAAATGACATTTAATTAAATTTAACCATAATAAAAATGATCACGAGGTAAATACTTCAGATTGATCTCAAGCTGTTCAAACTGAATTGTTGAGAATGAATCCTTTAGTTTATTTTTGTATTATTATCTTGTATTAATGATCTAATATTCCTGATCTTAATATTCTATTCTTTCAGGTTTGAACAATTCTCTAATGTTATCATTAGTTGAAAGAGATGAGTTACACTTAGAACAAGGCGGTAAATTAATTGCTTTAGAAGATATCAAGTCGTAAGTTATTACCAAATGTGTGTTGTATGTTGACTTTTATTTGGATAATTTTAATAGTTGAATTCATTAGCCGATCTAGGCTAGACCACCATAGAAAACCTAAAACTATGACGAAACGGTAATCCAGTGCTTCCAGGTTTTCAACGGTAGTCTAGCATAGATCGACTGATGATCTATCTAAAAGTCCATAACCATTGATTACGATAATCATGCGGACCCCAACCAAGTGGTCTACACCTGTTAACACGGCTCAGTTTGATTGTCACTGACTTCATGAACTAATGCCTTATTTTGGTTTGTTCGCCTCTAGCCTTCTCCTATGCCAGGCAGCATCATCTGTCAAGGTAGACGTTAACACGTTTAACACACACAAACACACGTAACACATGTTTTAACTACCTTAGAAAGTGAAGATTTACTACGTCATCAATCGAATTATCATCCTTACCTATTACCCTATACCAATAGCTGGTGGAGAAAATGTAGATTCAATTTATTGTGTTTTTCGTTCAAGGTTTTGTATTATTCAGCACGCTTAATGGCATTTAAAACATGTCCTAGTTTTTACATCTCATTGCCTATTCTAGAAAAGGTGGACTAAAAACATTTAATAAATTACATGAAGTTTACTCAGTTGTACATGTTGTTTGAGTCATTTATTATACTTAACGTATAAGCTGGAAAACTATAATGCCGCTTTCAAAATATTAACTCTCATTGTTGGGCAGGGCAAACATTTGATTATTATTGAATAGTAAATAGGTGTAATAAGTATAAACTATACACATTCTAACAATAACCACTTTTAAACAACAGTTAAATCAAAGGACACTTCAAAATGTCGGTCATTTATAAAATGTTGAGGAAATTCAAAGATTTTTTTCTTAATTCAATGATTTCATTTCAATAATATTCATAATCGATCGATCAGTAGTCGATTGATTATATTAAATGATATGCAAGGTATTTTTAGTTTTGTATGAACGAATTGATGGAAAATAGTCGAATTCAATAGTTTTCAGAACTTCCTTTTATACTATAAAATAAAGATTTGTGTGACATTCTTATGCCAGAGCTACTAATGGAATGTTACTGAAAATTTACATAAGTCTCACTTTATGTTTCTAGATAACAAACGATAAAAGTATAATATACTGGGACACTTCAGTCAGCCAATCAGAATTGGGATTGTGGTGTGTGCCACTGATATCGACAGATATCAGTGACATGTATCACCAGTCAAAATTGAAATGCCTGACGGTAGAATGTTAAGGTCGAAGAGAAGAGAGCGAGAACAGAGAGTGATTGGTGTAAAAACGAAAGAACAACGAAGTTTGAGATAATTGAATGACATGAAGTGTTTACTGTGAGGTTCTCGGATTTTACTGAAATATTTTGTTTGCATATGTGTACCTAGTCCTACGTTGTAACTGACTGACTGACTGACGGTAATTTTGTATTTATACATATGGTTGTCCCCACTGGTGTTCTCGTTCATTACAGGATAATACTTCATATATTTTACGCGAAGTTTAAAGGGAAGTGATAGATAACGTGTATGTCGTTATTCACCAAATTAACAGTATTTGGTTCTTAAAATATTTGTAATCAATGAAAATATCTGTTATACAACCAAACTCTCAAATTCGGATGGGGTTTAAGCTAAATTACATAACATGCTTACTCTTAAGGAATATTGTGTTAAAATACTTGATGTCGTGCAATTACTCATCCTTTTTTACTCTTACTTTAAAACTCCACCCTAAGTTTCTCAAAGTTGTAAACTGTAGGGTAATAAAGCATTGGATTATAGCTCATTTCAGTTCGTGTTGAAAACTTTGACCCTATTTTATAAACGGAACTCAAAACTCCAATTCAACTAATAATACCTAACCCTAACTTTTTCGCATTATAAATCATGTCTAGTTGGTGGTGACAACTTTATAGAATGATAACCTTGATTGACAATATTAACTGGATTCGTAATATTAATAATGTGAACTAGTCTTTTTTTCGTTACCGAAATGAATAATTTGACTTATGAGGGTTTCTTGATTAACTGATAAGTCACCCAGGGTCGTCAGTACACTTTAGTTTTACCTTACAAACTTGATTCAAATAGTCAGTTAACTTTTTTTATTGTATCTTTTTTATTACTGGAGATCCTGGTTTACTGGCTTGTTATAAATTAAATATTTTGAGTCTGTGGTTGATTTGTTCATGGATAGCTCTAAATTCATTACCATTTCCTACTAAATTTGATGTAAATCTATTTTAATTTTCAAAAGAAATATCAAAATAGTAGTCTGATTTGAATGTCCCTTATGGATTTGACGAAATCGATACGTTAACTCTACTGAAACTTTTCATTTATTTGACACATAGTTTTAGCTTCTTTTTTAATCTGTTTACCATTTATAAATTTTTTCTTATTTATTTAAGCTTACCAATATCTAATTTCTTTTTCTATTTAGCTGGATTAAAGAACTCAATATTCGTTCATCAATTCCTCAAGTTAGGCGACAATTATTTCTTAATTTTTCAAGTAATTTATCAAATAACACATACAGTAATGATGTTTTTCTTAAACCTCAAACCAAACATAACACTTTATCAAAAAAACCACAATGGATGACATCCTTATTTGGTCGAGCATCACAGCGACATACTCTTTCATTATAAGATTATATATTAATTTTTTTTTCTTTTTGTATATCTCAGATTTCATATATTTCCCTATTTGAAGAATTATGATCTTCAAAAATATGTCTTGTTCATTCCCAAATCCTTCTTCTATTTGACTTGTCTTATTCCCATCCTAAATTGATCTATACTTGTGCAGCTAATCATTTTTTCTTTAAATATTTAACAAAGTAATTGTTAAATGACAGGATCTAAAATAACCTATTAAAAGAATAAACAACAACAACAAAATCAGATTTTTAAAAAAATCAAAATTGTCGATCAGAAACTTTCTTTTTATTATGTCATCATCATAATGCTTATTTCTATACTAAGATGTATGATGATTTGTCTGTTACTTTTTTCTACAATATATGAAACTCATTTTTGAAGCTAATATTAATAATAAATAAAAAAGTTTGTTGGTATGTTACAATATTTGTTTTCTCTGAAACTGTCTTCATTTTCTTTGTTTCTGTACGTTGATTTTAGTTTATGTCAAAAGTACAGTAAAAATGAAGAGAAAATTATATCGAAACCATTCAATGAAACGGAGAATCATATGTATTCACCAGTTACTAGTTTAGTAATGGATTTCGGTACTATTTTTATGAGATTTCATGAGTGGTGTCGTTTAATCCTATGAAGATTAAGACAACATATATTCAATGATTGTCATTTTTAAGTTATGAGTTAACATATTCTAAAAATGTTAATCATTGAATTTTAATTATGCGGTCTGAAAATATCTTTCTTGTCTTTAAGAGACCTGAAAGAGTTCGCTAAATTATGAAGAAATAATTTTTCATTACTCTTTGTTTACTAAGAGTCCTTCAGTTAGTGTTAGTCAGCCATAACTAATGTAGAATCGAATACATATATTTATCAGTTTTATTTGTAACATTACATCAGCATGGTGGTTAAGATAAATGTCAGAATAATTAAAATAGTAACAGTATTGATGGTAAGAAAAACACACTTGGAATAGACAATATGATTCGAGTAAAATGAATGAATTCATAGAACAAGACAATATAAGATAAATTTAGAACTCAAGTTCTCGTAAGAGATAATAATTGAATGTATTTGTGTTATTTTGAGCTATTCCAGGACACATCACTCTACGTTTTTGGCCATTAATTATAAGCTAAACACATAAATTTTTGAACGTTAAAAAATAGTACATTTACAATATATGGTTGTACTGTGTTCAAAATGACTTCAATTAATAAATAGATCTTATGGTTCATTATGAGAGGATTTCTGGTTTTTATCGGTGTACAAATGTACGATGTATACATTTAATTTTTAGTAATGATAAGATTGTACACTTTTGTCTCCTTATTAACCTTTCATTATTGATTTTTATTGTGATTAGTTACAACTTATCGTAAATTAACTTTAAATACGTAGCTTCAATGCATACGAATTATTCCTAATAATCGAAGTAGACTTCAAAAAACACGAATTTACACTACAAAATTGTTAGGACGGCTTCCGAGAACTACGATGGAGCCTCCATAGGTCTCAGACTTTCCATCCAATCCAAACACGATGGAGCTTTCTAGAATATCAACGCGTCAGTAGCGACAGTAGCATAACATGTCTCTTTGCGGATTGGTTGCATTTTAAAGTTGATATAACAAACGCTAATATCCTGAAATACCCATGATTTTCTGTACGTTTTGATTCTTACCCAACAAGCACTCCTTGTTTATATATATATATATATTGGTCTGTGCAAATATTGCTATTGACAAACATTGAAAGTCTAATGACATATTTTTCTTAGGACTTCGTTTTTCTAAGTTCGGACTTTGTAGAACTTGTATAATTTCCAAAATTAATATGTTGTCACCCATGTTTATTTTAATTCATTCTTTCATTTTTTGGAGGGGAGGGGGTTAACGTCGTGTTATTGTTTCTGTCAATTAATCATTTTGTAGAAATTCAACTATCAAATTAAAAACCAGAATCTCTAAACCCATAAATTACCGAATTTCAAGATTTCTCGTCTAAATTATCATTTATACATTTAATTTCAATTGATTTTATCATGTGTTTTGTCAATATGATCATCTTTGAGTCCGTTTGTACTACATGATTTCTGATTTATTGTTATTTGAATAATTTTAGGGACTTACGTTAAGTATGTAGCTCTAAATTTTATTTGGTTGTAGTGTAAGCAGAATGTTATAAATTTACAAATCTGCAGTCTAAGCTTATCAATTTATTAAGTTCATATTCTCAAAATGATCCGTATTCGTCCCACGATGTTCACATCGTAATATTGTTTTCATTGTAATATGTTTAAATCAAAAATGTTAAAACAAACTAATTCGTTGTTAATATGACTGATTTCACTAAATTATCTAAATTAAAAGCTTGTTCAATGAACCTTTCTTTAAGTTTCATAAAAAATAATCAGAAAAGTTAAACTAACTAGATAAACATTTGTATTTGTTTAGTAATTCAAACAATTATGTACCTATTAGATATATAACTCCTGATAATCAAAGAAGAATAGATAGCTATTTCATCCTATTATTCAACTCAAAATCGAACATCCACAAGTCAACTGATAATCGAACTCAGAACCTCCAGGTTTTCAACGCCATGAGGTCTGAGGGTCCTAAACTCAACTCTCTATAAGGTATTAGATATCCTCTCCTGTGGAGTCCTGTACTTTATTGAAATAACTCTCTAGTGTCTTCTGGTTTTCAACGGCTGTTCATGATCTGAACTGAAAATTCAGTAATCTTCAAAACCTTTATATGAATGATGATTTTTACTTAAAAGTTCAACCAAAACAATTTGACCATGAGATATTTGTCCATCATTTAATAAATCACTATTGAAAAATATAATTCAGGAGCACAAAGTGATTAATGAATATTTACTTCCGCCTGCTCTAACAAAGGAGAAACATCTCTTTTTATCTGTTTCAGATATGCTGAAACCCTGCTTCCAGTTTTTTTATGGGATACAATAGAACTATTGAAACAAAAGTAAAGAATGGTAACTGTTCTGAAACAACATTGAAGTTTATATAAATAAAAAATCTTCGGAGCAGTACAAAATTTACTTACTTACTTACTTACGCCCCTTACCCCTCGTCGAGGAGCATAGGCCGCTCACCAGCATTCTCCATCCAACTCTGTCCTGAGCCTTCCTTTCCAGTTCTTTCCAGTTGCTATTCATCCTTTTCATATCGGCTTCTATTTCCCGGCGTAGTGTGTTCTTTGGCCTTCCTCTTTTCCGCTTCCCTTCCGGATTCCAAGTTAGGGATTGAGTCGTGATGCACATTGGTGATTTCCTTAATGTATGTCCGATCCACTTCCAACGTCTTTTCCTTATTTCCTCTTCAGCTGGAAGCTGGTTTGTCCTCTCCCATAAAACGCTGTTGCTGATAGTATCCGGCCAGTGGATGTTGAGTATTTTGCGTAGACAACTGTTTATAAATACTTGTACCTTCCTGATGATGGCCGTAGTAGTTCTCCACGTTTCAGCTCCATACAGTAGGACTGTCTTGACGTTCATATTAAAGATTCTGACCTTGAAATTGGTTGAGAGTTGTTTTGAGTTCCATATGTTCTGCAATTGTAGAAATGCTGCCCTTGCTTTGCCAATCCTTGCCTTTACATCTGCATCCGATCCTCCTTGTTTATCAACGATGCTCCCCAGGTACTTGAATGTTTCCACCTCTTCCAGAGTTTCGCCATCAAGTGTGATTGGGTCGGTGTTCTCCGTGTTGCATTTGAGAATCTTGCTTTTTCCTTTGTGAATGTGGAGGCCTATCGATGCGGAGGCTGCTGCTACATTTGCTGTCTTCATCTGCATTTGGTCGTGTGTATGAGAGAGGAGGGCTAGGTCATCTGCGAAGTCCAAATCATCTAATTGATTCTGAGAAGTCCATTGTATTCCGTATTTCCCTTCAGATGTCGAATTCGTCATAATCCAGTCAATCACTAGAAGGAAGAGAAATGGGGAGAGTAGACAGCCTTGTCTGACTCCGGTCCTTACTGGAAATGCATCTGTCAGCTGTCCTCCATGCACCACTTTGCACTGTAATCCATCGTATGAGTTTTGGATAATGTTGACGATCTTCTGAGGAACTCCATAGTGTCGAAGAAGTTTCCACAATGTTCTCCTATCCACGCTGTCAAACGCCTTCTCATAGTCGATGAAGTTGACGTATAGTGATGAGTTCCACTCAACTGATTGTTCAACGATGATCCGTAGTGTCGCAATCTGGTCTGTGCACGACCGATCCTTACGGAATCCAGCCTGATGATCCCTCAGTTCGGCGTCTACTGCGTCTTTCATCCGATTCAGCAGCACTCTGTTGAAAACTTTTCCTGGTACTGATAACAAACTGATGCCTCTGTAGTTCTCACATTGGCTCAGATCTCCTTTCTTTGGTATCTTGATGAGATATCCTTCTTTCCAGTCCGTTGGCACTTGTTCCTCTTCCCAAATCTTTTTGAATAGAAGGTGAAGCATGTTTGCAGTTATTTCAATGTCTGACTTCAGTGCTTCTGCTGGTATATTGTCAGGTCCTGCCGCCTTCCCACTTTTGATTTGTCTGATGGCCATCTTGACTTCTTCGATCGTTGGTGGAGTGACATCTATTGGAAGGTCAGTGTGGGCTGCTTCGATGTTCGGTGGATTCGATGGGGCTGGTCTATTCAGCAGTTCCTCAAAGTATTCTGCCCATCTTTTCCTCTGTTCCTCAATCTCAGTGATTGTCTTTCCTTCTTTGTCTTTGACTGGTCTCTCTGGTTTGCTATATCTCCCTGCCAATTTCTTCGTTGTATCATATAGTTGTTTCATATTCCCTTCTCTTGCAGCTTTTTCCGCCGCCGTTGCTAGTTCTCCCATGTATTTCTGCTTGTCGGCTTTAATGCTTTTCTTCACTTCTCTGTTTGCTTCTGCGTAGTCTGCTTGTGCTTTGACTTTCTCTGCTCGTGTTCGGCTGTTGTTAATTGCTAGTCTCTTGTTCTTCCTTTCTTGAAGTTTGTCCAGGGTCCCCATAGAGATCCATTCTTTGTGATGGTGCTTCTTAGGACCAAGAACCTCCTGACACGTTGAAGTTAGTGCTTCTTTTATCCCTTTCCAGTTGTCCTCCAAAGTAGTTTCTTGTTCTTTCAGTAGATCCTGTAGAGCTTGGAACCTGTTGTTGAGAGTTATCTTGAATTCATGGAGTTTGTCAGTATCTCGAAGGAAGGCTGTATTAAACCTTTGTAGTGCTGTTTGTCTAGTTGTCCAGTCTTTCTTTAGCTTCAGTCTCATCTTGGCCACAACCAGGTGGTGATCTGAAGCTATGTCAGCTCCTCTCCGGGTTCTCACATCTTCCATTGATCTTCGGAATTTTTTGTTGATACAGATGTGATCAATCTGGTTCTCTGTGGTGTGGTCCGGTGAGATCCATGT